TAAAGTGCTGTAGGCAAGAAACTTGATTGCGCATATATCTCCAAAGATTTAAAATCCTTCTCCATCGAACTGAACAACTAAATTGGATTTAAAATGTAATTCCATCAAATAAAATTTCATTCGAGGAAATAATCTACTGGAATGAGAAATGTTTGCTTCAACTTATAAATTTTCAAGATCCTTTTTATTTCCACAAGTACAGTACAGGTGATTTTTTTTTCTTTTTCCAAAGAAGAAAAAATCATGTTAATTAAAATCGTTGGCTTTTTAGGAAGAAGTTTATTATACAAATAATTTAAAATGCTGTGTACAACATAGCTGAACCCGGATTTAGCATTAATATTAAGAAAATCTCTGATACGAAAATAAATAAATAAATTCCCTCTTCAATAAATGAAACTAAGTAACTGAAAGAGCAATTCCTTTAATGGGCTAAGTCAAGATTCGATAGTAACTTTTCCCTCGAAAATGTATCCCATTTTTATTTTAAAAAAAGTTGAAATTGTTAAGAATACTTTATAATATTGCGAAATTTGGTTTTTTATTTCAAGTTTAAAATTTTACTTTTTTCGAAATCATCCTTGTAAATTTTACCATACTTACTTTAAGAAATGCTTGAAAAGAATTGCCATATATTACTAATATGAAATTTTTTTATTCATTTAAAACTTTCTAATTCTGTAAAAATGGCCTCTGTTAATGTTACAACCAACCACTGCTCTAGGATATATGACGAATTTCCGAAATTCGTCATATATCCTAGAGCAGTATCCTAGAGGGATGAATACAACTTTTTCCAAAACTAATATTTTAACCTTAAACTGCTCTTTAGTACGATTTTCAAAGAACTACCTAACGAATTACCAAGAATTTCACTAGATAACATTAAAAAACATAGACATTGTCTATTTCTTACGAAGAGACTGTATTTTGCTTTTAAAAAAATCAAAAAGGTTTTCTTTAGTAATTTGGAACCATACTTAACACACTTATTTTGACGAAGAAATAGACTAATCTTGTATTTCTTTACGAAATAATAAAAAGTATTACCTCGAAAATTTGTTGTAAGTCACTACAACTTAATTAAGGGTTCCCACTTTTTTAACAAAACAAAAATTAAGAACTCTTAAGGACTTTTTTTGAAAAAAATTAAGTATTTGTTTTGAAAAACTAAGGGCATTAAATATAGAATAATTGTTCATCCTAAAATTTACATATGCCCCCAGTGACAATACCAATTTTTGAATTTTTAAAGAAAAATAAATTAATAAATACTAAGAGAGCAATTTCATTATAATTCAAGCACTGATACAAATTGTATTTACTACCAGGAAAATTTCGCTAACCTGAGCTCGGTTTGTCCGAGTGGGTCCACTTAAAGAAAGAAACTCACATCTTTCCAAGGTGGTGTTTATTGAAAATTTATTAAACGAGATCATTACGTTTGGCTTAAAAAGCATAATAATTGTCCTTAGAACAAGACTTTTTAAAAATTAAAGAAAAATTAACTTGATGCATAAATTGGTATTTATTCAACTCATTCTAAGAGCGTACTAATGTACCGTTAATTATAATGGGAAAATGAAGTAACCGTCCTTTATAAAACAGCCAGGATTCTTAAACCTTGCGAATATTTTTTAATTTATATAAAATAATAATTGTTAATGAAATTTTCATTACAAGTGCTTAACTTTTAATATGATAACTAATATTGAATTTTTTTCCAGATATTTAGACTTATTACAGGGATTTAAATTAAAAATTAAATTAAACTACTTCATTTATAAGAAAAATATCTATTTTTATTAAGTGGAATTATTATGTAAATTAGGGGTTTGCAACCAGCGGCCTGACAAACCTGCTGTAGCAACTTGAACAAAATAAAAGATCAATAAAATTTTTTTTTTTTTTGAAAATAAAAAAAAATTCGAAAATTTATAATTGTGCATTGGCGCACCCAATCTCTTTTAATGTAGTTTTGCGATTGCTTTTTTCCGGTGGTTAATGCTACGAATTTACGCATAGTTTTGAAAATCCCAGTATTTTTAATTCGACTATATATAATTTCGAATTATTTTTGTCACTTTCGACCCTCTTCGTGTATGCCGATTTATGATAAATCCAATGACTTTTCCCTAGTTACTACGTTTTTCCCCGTGATTTAAAAAATCCTGACATTTTTATTACTATAGTTCACAGCACATGAGTTATGAATCACGCATTAAAAAATGATTTTTTACGTGCTCTAATTGTGCCGATTTTGACATAAATATAAGAGGTTAAACGCTATTTTCTTCTTTTTTTTGGCAGTTATTGATGTACTGTGATTTTGATTATCCCGTTATTTTAACAAAGATTAGAACTCATGAAATTCGATTCTATTTTTTTTTCTTTTTAGGCAATTTAAAAAGTACTTATGTATTTTAGCAAAATTGATTCCGTCCCAAAGAGAATATTAATAATAAATAAATAAAAAAAAATATAAAAAAAAACGAGATGTATAAATTTATATTAAACGCGAATCCCTTTTGAGGAAGAACATTTCAATACACGTTCACAATTCTATAGTTTCATGAACATGTGCATGTTTAACAACGCATACCCAACCTATTCTTTTTCGGTTTGATTCGTCTCGTAATTAAGTCACATATCGTAATTCGTATTGTGGCGTTTAAAATACCATACACTGTGAATCATCTCGCAATTCAAAAATCACACATCGCTACTCGTATTCACGCGATTTAAAAATTAGGAAAGGAAGAGCGCCATGTGGGACAAATTCCAAAAACTGATTAAGTTATTTGCCCTAAGTGTAAAGCTGATCACAAGATCAATTTCTGCAGAAAGACTGTCTTCCAGAATGAATTGGGCATATTCTAGAGATTGTGGAGCAGTCTTTAAACAAAATTACTAAATTTTCATTTAATAGCCCGAAAAAGCTATCAGATGATCAAGTAGATAAAATTATCACAATATTTAAAAATTTTGCACATCGCAGGTTAACCCGTAAGAAATTTTTTAAGCCATTTGTTATCTACATGGATCATCTTGTATCATTTATGATCATATGCTGGGAAATTTGTATACCCTTAAATTTTACCAGAAAAAAAAAGTTTAATCAAGATGAGTAGAGTAATGTAAATTTTAATTCGTTAATATATATGTGTATTAATTGTAAGTAGTAACATGTTAAAAAAGTATTGGTCATAAAGAGTTGTAAACAAGTAACTTAATAGTTTTTTATTATTAAGGAAAATATTTCCTTCAAAATTAATGGTTTATTTTCTTTTCTCTTATAATTTATTTAAAATGTTTTAAAGTTGGAGTACTAAATTGCCTACTAAATGTTGAATCTTATATTTCCCTGCAAAGGTTTTGTTTTAATTTTACGTAATTTTAAGTCCTGCAAACTTTTTTAAATTATTCAACTAGTATATATAATTTTTTTTATTTTTATTTTAATTGTATGAACATCACAAATTTTTAATGTTAAATGAAGTTTATTATGTAATGTGATGAAAAAAAACATGAATTTTCCCATTATTTTTAAATTTATCTAAAAAAAATTTCCGATAATTGATTCTGTTTTCTCCCTAAGTAGTAATCAGTTTTTCATTTTAAAAACTTGAAAATACTTAATTTTATGCAAACATATTACTTGATTAACATGTCTTTCTAAAAGATTGTGCATCCCTATGCAAATTGTTATACAATTTTTTTCACATCTTAAAAAAAGATTTTTTTTTATGTCTATTAATAAAATGTTTCATTTATAAGGGTATATAATAAAAGAATTCGTGATGTTACGCATGATAAATTTCTTAATTATGTCATGTTAAATTAAGTTTTATTCCAAGTAAATACAAGGCCCTACTAATAGCCAAACACCTTAATTTGTTCTACTTTTTTTTCCACAAGCCCTAATTTTATATTTTTTAAATTCATTGCAAGAAATCTCTTATGAAACTTTTTACAGGATAAAAGTACGATTCAGCTGTAGAGGATTCATAATCTTCAAACTAAGATATTTCATATATTAGTTCTCAATGTTATAATAAAATGGTCTAAAACGATTTTTCACGGTCAGAAAATTGTTAAGGTTCCTTAATTAAAATATAAATTTATTTTTTCATAATTTTCTTGTCACCCTTTTGTAATATAATTCTCTACTATTGTTATGATTCAGTTCATTAAAAATAGTAAACGATTGAAATATTTTGAAATTATTACTAAATGGCAAATATGTTACATTAATTTTTATAATTAGCTTTATATAAAATTATTTCTAGCCAAAACTGTTATTAGGAATTAATTTCACATATCACTAAGTAATCTGGTGGAAAACATTTATCTTTTACCTACAGCTGGTACAATGGTGCACCCTAAGCAAAGGGTCAACTAATTTTAATGCAACCATTTTTTACCATAAGGGGTACCATCTTAAGCAAAAGAAAGAATTTATAAAAAGAACCATTATATTAATGAAAGGTCTCTGCCTATCCCGCTAAAATGCTTTACTGTTGATGCATTGTCTCATTCCAGGAGATAAAAGAACAAATTATTGTTTCTATCAATTATAATGATACTGAAATTTGAGGAATTTTTACTAAAACCTTGTACCATAATAAAAATTAAGCAGTTTTCAAGGACCAAGGGAACCCTGTAAATAACGTTGAATTAGAGCTTCAATAATTAAAAAAGAGATTATTGCATAAAATTGTTTTTATTAGTGCTGATTTAAAATTTAAACAGTTTCATATACTGGAGATTCGATTGCCATTTGAATATTTAAAAAAAAAGGAATCAATTTGAGTTTCTAACAACTTATTTATATCAAGAAAACTTTTACAGGGGGAAAGTTATTTGATATTCTAAATACACAATTTTTTTAATATAAATAGTTTTTTTTTTCAATTAGAATTCTGTAAAATGATGCATAAAGTTTTGATGAGATAGTGGGTGTTGCTTACAGGAAATATTATTAAAAGGTACATTAACTCTGCAGTGTGAGAATTGAAAATTTATTAAAAAATGTGCATATAAACACAGTAATTGTTGAACAAAAACCAAACACAATAGTTTTATTTCATACAGCTTAAAGATGACATGCAAATACATTCTAAAAACACTGTTGCCCTTCAAAAGGTAAAACTGAAGTTTTAAAAATAAATGTTCTTCATTCAAAAATTAAACAGATTGGAATATACAGCTAATTGAACCAACTTTCATCACCTAGGACAGACAAGACATTTAATAATGACAGACTGCTCCAGTTTTTATCAGTAGGATAAGTAAATGCTCGTAAATTAAGCTCTCCTCAGAATAATGAAAAGAACAGACCTGAAATTTAAACTCTTAAAACATGCATGATTGCAACCATTTTCCACATCACCCAAGAGCAGGGCTGTAAGCTCTCTTTGCTTTTTTGAAGTGAAACTTCAATTTTTACTATAATTTTATTCTTACAATAATCTAAAATGAAACTCTTAACACTTTATAAATAAGCAAGGTAAATACAGCTCTGATCAAGAGGTATGGTTGCACAGATGCGCTGACCCCTTTTATTAGGTTGTTCCAAAAACATATTTAAAATCAGATTATTATACTTAAAAACATAAACATGGTATAATTAAGCTCATTTTCATTTTATTTCAAATTATTAAATGCCTAAAACAATATAAATTTAAAACATTGCTTAGGGTTTAACATTTTTATAATCCATTATTATAAAAAGAAAAGCTGGACTGAGTAATAAGTAGACTATAATCATAATTCAATATGGAACAACCTAACAGCATATAGCAAGGCGGGTTCCCCAAGAGGCATATATTCCTTTTGTGTCATGACCATTTAATACTTTTTCTCACTTAAAACTTTGAATATTTTTATCCTTAACCTGAAGGGAAGAAAGGTTTACATTCTATAAATATCTTATGCATTACATTACTTTGCTTGTTTTATAAAATTCTTAAACAAGAATGGCACACTCATTCAAATTTATTAAAAAAGGTAAAGAATATTATGGATTTTATAAAATCTTTAGGCACTTATTGTTGGTTAAAATAGCCATGACACTATACAATAGAACACCATTTATAAATCTTCTAAAACAAGTATTAAAAGGCAAACATATTACTGAACATTTTCTTTATACTATACCCTCCTAGGATTGTTCAACAAAATTTCTTAATCTTTCAATCTCTTCCATCCACAGAGCAATCAATAGAACCTGAAATTAATGTAATACTATATATATACAAATGTAATGTAAACACTATTTATTTACAAAATATTTAAAATGATTATGAAAATTGCTTCCACTACAACAATTTTAAATCTTCATAAATATAGTAAGAAAAAAATCCCAGCATTATAAAAATAATACCTTAAGACAATAGAGAGTTTATTGACAAATTAAAGTATATTTTATTTTGAAAACATAAAATAAGAGGAATGAAATTTTCTTGATTCATTAACAATTACAAATCAGAATTTGTGTTTGGCAGTTGAATGCACATTCGTGGAGTTTTAGGTATATATACAAAAGCTGAGAATTAAATGAATAGGGAGAAATATGGTTCCCATTGAAATGGAAGCTAAAAAAAATCCTAAACATTGAAAAGATTGTTAGGAAATCACATTCTTTCTTAACAAATTTAGCTATTCTATTTCAATTTGAAAAGCATAACAGAAAATACACATATTCTCAAGAACCTTCTCATAATTTATTCAAGATATAACAACTAAAAGATAAAATTTTTTTTATTCATAGAAAATCCTTTTACTTAACAACCACTGAGTTCTATTAAACGGTTATTGGGAACCACAGTACCAGTCTATCAATAAATAGATAATAGAGGTTTAACTTTCAAATTTTAAATAAGAACTAACTTTCAATAAGACACAACAAGGACCCTTAATTTAAGTCTAGAGGGATCATGGCATAGCCAATTTATGTGAAATTAGACGACAAGGTACTTACCACTATGTAGAACAATCAAACCCAATCCACTAAACTTCTCTATTTTCTCCATTAAACATTTAATTTTAAATCCTGGAAAGTTTTCAAGCTGCACATTGCGACCCAGAATAACATCAGGAAGATGGGGTTTCAAATAATTAAACATTGAATCCCGGATTACTGAAGCTTTAATCACCTAAATGAAAATTTAAGTGAAAAAAATTATATATTAGAAAAAATACTCATAACATGCTTAAACAAATACTAGATCACAGAGTGTGATAACCAATTAAATTCCTTTAGTTTATTTGTATTTTTTTTTCATTCATTAAAAGTATTTAAATGTAGTTAATTATAAAACATATTTTTGATTTTAAAGAAATGAAACAAAATTAAGAGCTTAAAATTATTCCATTATATGATTAAATTATGCATACAATACTACATGTATTATACAATACTGAGTTTTAAATTACACCACATGTTTTTTGTAAGCGAATGCATGCCTGCCACTTAAACACATTTTGCTGTAACAGTCTAAATTATGATATCCGAAGATACAACACAGAAGAATTATATACCATAATAGGTTGCAGAATTATAGTCATACATTATTTACTGAACACTTACACGTTTTTAGAAAAAAATATATAATATTAACAATCAAGCGATTACACTATTTAACAACTAGAAAAGGTTACACGTGTTAAAATAAATAAATGAATCGAATAGTATGGAATAGAATATTTATAATCCAAAACTATAAATAAGACTTCTGAAATGAATAAAACCTTACAACATACCATAACAGATCTGATAACATACTTGCGGTAGAGATGTCCAATATTTTCCGGAACAGGTATTTGGAACCTGTTATTTAATCATACCTGTTATAAAAATAACAGGTTACTTCAAAAGACCTGTTCCAAAATACTAGGCAAAAATTTCAATTCAATTATCTTGGCAAAAATTTATTT